TTTTTTTTTTTATAAAAAGTACTTTTAACTGTGATTATTTAAAGAATAAAAAATGTTTGTGAACGGGACTATGTTGATTCTCGCGTACACCGCGAACATGATGGCTACTTTAGCTGAGAAAAACGCGTCCCTGGCTTTGGACAATAGCGTTCAAAAAATCAATGTGTCGACCACGACTCTGTCGCCTGAAGAACAGGAGAACCAATTGGACTTAGAAGACCGTAAGTAATCTGTTCAAAAAGACAATTTCCATTTTTCATAATCTGGGAAAAGAAAATGAAGAATAAAGTTGATTTTAAGTTATAAATGAGNAATTTCTGTAATACAAAATCATTTAAATTATTTATAATTCCTCTAACAAATTCTCCTGTTTCCAGAATGGCACATGTGGCGTTGCTTCGAACCTTACGGTTGTTTCTATATCGGTTCTCCATGGTCCGGAGAAAACAGGCCGGTCTCCACATTCCCTGCACGTCCGGACGAGATCAATCCACGGTACGTATTCTACAGCCGTGATAACGAAGACCAACCGCACGAGCTGAAGATCGACAAGCATGAAACGATCAGGCAAGCACCGTTCAGGAAGAAGGCTGACCTCTATCTCATCATCCACGGGTTCCTCGATAACGGGGACAAGACCTGGGTCATGGTATTACATTACAACCTTATCACTTATTTAATTCATAATTATTCATCNATCATATAAAATACGTGTTAAACTATTTAATTTAATAATAATAATTAAATATTTATATCTGATTTGCAGAGGACTATGAAAGAGTTACTACAGAGAGAAGACTGCAACGTGGTGATAGTGAACTGGATAGGAGGTGCAGGTCCTCCGTACACTCAAGCAGTCGCCAACACGAGACTGGTAGGCGCAATGACTGCACGGTTGGCTTACCAATTGATCAAAGTAGGAGACATAGATCCGATGAAAATGCATTGCATTGGACACAGTCTAGGCGCACACACCTGTGGATACGTTGGGTACACGTTAAGGCAGAAATACGAACACAGTCTTGGCAGGATCACTGGTGAGT